TCTTCCCTTAGTTAAAAAAAGTATAAAATTCATTTCGTTGGCTCTTCATTCAAAATCTGGAACTGGTGATACTTTCGTTATTTTTCCTCATCTCCCATTCATACATATTTTTAACAAAGTGAAATTTTCATATCACCATCAGTTAACAAGTCCAAACATCTGTTCTTCTCTCGAACACACTTCACCACAACCTTTCAAAGGAAATGAGTCTAAAAGAAACTCCACCTTTGCCACAAGTCCTTCCTCATATTCAAATTATTACTGGACCACATATCAAAAGTGAGAAATAAAATGTTGAAACCACTTGTCCAAAAATTTCTCAGCATCTTCAATCCGTCAAAGACCAAATTCGGTTTAAGACATTAGGAGTTTCCAGCATTCCACACATATGCGGCGAAGAATGTATTAGGGAAGCACGAAAAATGTCAGGCTAAAAGAACATGAAAGAGTCTTAAGACGATGCCAAATAAATTCATCAACAGTGGTCAAACATAATCCTGATGACCAGACTAAAATTCTTGCCTGTAATCAATAGTACCAAAGAAATATCCGAGAACCCATACTACTTTCCAATATGAGAATCAGTCATTATTATTTATAATTCGATAGTGAAATTAATGTTTGAGTGTATGAACTTTAGCTAAGGATTGAAGAGATTCTTGGCCGTTGCTACAGTTCCAGTTTTGTCAAAATGGTCCGCGATCATAATACGACTTTAAATCGTGTTACACAGAATATCAAACCGGAAACATTTTCCGCCTGCATTCAACGTCACGAGGAACCTCAAGCAACTATTTGATAATAAAAGGGGGACCGGAGGTGCTCCGTCTTGCCTTAAATTTCACGGTTGGAATTAATTGCCTAAAGGAAATTACGTATTCATTCCGTCTCGACCTAATGTAATGAACACTGCGGGGTTGAACCGCATAACTGACAACTTTCTACTTCTCAAAATTTGGTTTTAAGGGATCTATCTGTTCAGTTATATTTATTTAAACGAGCCGTTAAACTGCTGCTTTTTTACCTGCGAGTTTGGTGCGATATTTCCAATCAATTAATTCGGCTTACATAACGCCAACAATGGGCCTAATTTTGAATGGTTGATTAATTCGGTTTTGTTGTCCTCTAAAAATAGACTGACGGCGGATCCATATTAAAGCGCTGAAAAGTTGGACCGGGGTGAATGCAACGCTAACGATGTTTAGAATATGCTAATATTTTATTGTCCAAATCAAGAGGACTCTATCCAATTGGAAGGCACAATGAGCTATATACTTTAATTTGATCCTGAGGCACGTTTTTTAACTAAATTTAGGTAGGTTTTAAATATTACATTACGCCATCTGTCAGCCGTAGAGGGAACAATATACACAGTAATTACGTTTAATTGCTTATTTCTTGGTATTTTTGAAATTCCTTGCAAGCCTAATTTTTTTTTTGAAATAAGCTTCCACAGGCTACTGTAATAATTTTTGCAGAACTTCTGGAATCCTGCGACGGTTTTTGTTGAGTCGAACTTGCTGACGTTTCTCCAAACGTCATGTAGGTTTTTCAGAGCTTGACTGAAAGTTTCAGACTCAACAAAAACTGACGCAGGAGGAATCCAGTAGTTTTGCTTCCTTTCATTTGCACTGTACACCACAATTCTTCTTCTGTTTTATCCTCGCTCTAAACGTTACATTTTCTTACTCATAATTCTTGCCAAAACTCTTCAGTCACTGAGACCTAAAAGGTCTATTGCGGCTATCTCCATAATTATAGGTCTTCACCTGGGTGCTTCTCTTTGATTAGACTTTACAGCTTGGTGCGTGGCCCTTTCTTCTTGATCTTGGCAGAATGTGCATGAGAGCAGTTTCCTCAAGGTTTAACAGAAATGAAGTAAATGTGACCTATAAGTTTTTGAGGAATTTTTTGACTTGTCTTTGTCCTGGCATGTTTCTACCTTCGCTGACTGGCCTTCGTACCCTGCAAATAGAGATAGAAGATGCGTTCTTTGTACACACATTATTACATAGCACGTCTCGGTTTTATTTTAAAAGTTTGGTTTCTGTAACTGTTTGTTCGGGTTTTTCTGCTATGTATATTGGTTCATTATTTGAAACGAAGTAAATATTATAACCTCAATTCCTTACTTCAAAATGCTACTAAGTGATTTGTTTTGGTTAGATTTTAAATTGCATGGACCGAAAATTAGTTATTTAGTAATACGAAAAACGTATTTTTAATTGAATAGGATGCTACGTAAATTACATACCTTTAAAGTATAAATTAAAAATAGAAAGTAATGTAAATAAACTATAACAAAATGAATGCATAGCGCAATTAAATCAAAAAATATATATAAAATTAGAAAAACATTTTAGAAAGTACATAATGCAATTATTTAAAGAACACGTTAATGTCTTTTTCAAAAATAATTAGTTAATAATTTTTCAAAGAAACTTTCACAGGCTACTGTAACACTTTTTACAAAACTTCTGGATTCGCCAATCATCCTGTTGGCTTCTTCAGAGCTTGACTGAAACTGAGTCAGTCAGTTTCATTCAATTCATAATTCATTTTGACAGCTTGCGATGGTCTTTTTGTTTTTTCTGAAATATGCATAATATAATAGGGGAAAAACCTTCAAACTTTCGTATTTACATTTGTTTTTCTGTCTTTCAAAACTAACCTTGTAGGTGGGTGTCAAAATATGATGAATAACCCTCTACAATGGTTTATTTAGCTTTGTATGTAGATATCAAATATTGTAACGGACATCATCAAACATACATGTTAATTTGTTTCTGATGCCACCGAAACAAGTGTCTCATTTTTTAAGTAATAATTTTTTTCACATCGACTTCGGAGTTTCAATCGATTCTTTATAGAACTCTGTTCTGTTGTTTACATAAGAAATAAATAAATAAATAAATAAGGGTAATATATTGAAAGAATATAAGAGGTCATGGGCCAACGTGTTTTGAAAATCTATTTTTTCGAAAGCACCATATCATTTAACACTTAATAAAATGTCATTTATGATTACCACGGTTTCATGAAACATCATATGTAATTAAGAACATCTTCATTCTTCCGGTTTCGATATCTTACTGACTTTTGAACTTGTTACTTTCCAAAATCGATGAAATCGAATTTTTCGAAAGTATCTGCGCTCGTATAAAAATTTTATATCTCGGTAACGGTAGGTTCTATGGGATCTCCGTTGGTACAGAAATGATCACCGTCGAAAAAAATTTTTTTTCTGTTCGTCCGTTCTCCGTTCTCGTCTTTTGGTTTTTCCTGAATAAATTTCGAACTGTTGGAGATACAAAATTAAAATCTGCCTCCTTTTTAACCCTCCACGGAGCACATAAGCGTATAAGAAAAGACCCTGATCCGACGCCGGTATCCATCTTTTTTTTTTCGCGATTTTCGACTGTTTTTTGGATCTTGCTATGAAACACGATAAGTGTCCGAAATTTGAAGTAATCGACTTCATATTTGGCACATATATGCAACTTTGCCCCGTAACGGAATTTATTCAAAATATGGGGGCTGAGGGGTCGGGAAGTATTCTAAAAAAATATAAAATCGCGTGTGCAAGGGTCTACAAAAAACATCATTTCTCAAAAACTGTTTAACGAGACCAAAAAAATTCTTGAACCAAAAGACGTAGAAGATACAGCCCTATAGACATTTATTCTTGACAATTTTTCAAAAGTATACAGGGTGCGCCGCAAATTCAAAAAAATTGAAAAATGGGTTCCTCTATTATTGAAAATTGGTTATAACTGAAAGACTATGATTCAGATCTTACTTTCTTTTATATTGCGATATAGCCCGCATAGACAGCAAAAGCTTTTGTATTTATGATTTTCACCTATTGTACAGGGTGTTCCCGATATTCCGTGCTAAATGAGAAATGTTTAAGTGTCCTAAATTCGCAGATATCAACTTGATTGATTTAGCAGAGAAGTAAAAGTCCGTGTCCACATTTAAACGGTAGAAATTGGGCGCAATCAAATTTTACCAGGAATTTTTTTTTTGTAATTTTAGCTTCTACAAAAATATGTTTTCCTCCATAATCGTTCATCCGATTGGCAAAATTCTTTAACCGCAGACGCAGAAGATCCAGTGCAATAACATTTATTTCGGGCATTTTTTCGATTATATAGAGGGTTTTCAAATTATAGGCAAAAATCTAAAAGACCTAGAAATTGTTCTTTTACAGAGTAAATTATTAACCGCAAATCAAAAATCGTAAAAAATATGGCTAATGGGTTCAAACAGTGTCATAGGCCGCATCAAGAGTTACAATTTTTGTATTTGCGGTTTTCGTCTATCACATACGCTGCTCCGGTTATTTGAAAAAATCCATATTGAAATCGTTATTTCGGGGGCAGTCAAGACGCGATGACGTCATTGATTATTACGGCGCACTGCATGGTTTCAAAAAAAACTTATTTTCTCGAAAACCATTTACTATTTTCAAGAAATTCTTGAACCACGAAATGTGAAAAATCCAGGGCTACAACTCCTATTTCGATAAATGATTGAATCATATACAGAGTGTGGCGTTTATGGGCAAAAAATCTAATATGTTCTAAAAATTTCCGTTTTTGTGGGTAAATTATTGGCGATAAATGAAAAAGAGTTAAAGATGGGATAATTCTATTCGTAATCCGTAAACCGTGTCGTGAGAGAGTTTCAGGTTTCGTCAATTATACAAGGCGCGAGATATTAGAAAAAATATCATTCGACAACGCTATTATTGGTGCAAATTTTAATATTTACCGATGTTTGCTGATCTTTGCATGGACAATTAAATTAAATCGATTTTGCCAAAGTTCCATAGTGGTCCGCAGGAGCACGCTAGAAAAATAATGCGTCCCTTTAACACACGAAACCGCGAAGCTCCTTCCTTTTATAATAAAAAGCTGCTTTGCGCTACGCGCTACGAACTTGACGCACCCAGTGACGATTTTTTGAAAGCAATCTTGTTTCCTCTTTTTTCTCAGATTCCTAAGCGTGAAGAAATGGCTACTGCGCAAGAAACACCAGATCGAGCTGGCACGGAAACGTGGCTGGAAAGGGTACTGGGTGTGCCTGAAAGGCACGACTCTCCTATTCTACCCCTGCGACTCGCGGGAGGGTCGGAGCGTCGAAGCGGCCCCCAAACATCTCATAATAGTCGACGGCGCCATCATGCAACCGATACCAGAACATCCGAAACGAGATTTCATATTTTGCCTCAGCACAGCATTCGGTGACGCTTATCTGTTCCAGGCTCCGTGTCAGGTAACGTTTGTCTTATGTTATACGGCGAAATTTCTAAATTCACGACGGCAACGTCATCCGGTCTTCCCCATTCCGCGGCATAATTTATTTCCGGGCCAAATTTATAGATGACACAATTTCGTCTGAGTCGCAAATGTCGGGCGGTGACGCGTGAAATGCGGATTAAACGGGAAAGAAAATTCTTTTAACGGATCCCCTATAGGCGCAGCTGACAGACAAAAAAGAATGCGACATGGATGTGGTCTAAGGAAATTATTTTTTTCCCACATTTATAATAATAATAATGCTTTAATTTTTTTTAATGCAATATAAAAAAAAGTGAAGAGTGACGAGATCTAGCTTGCTGCTGCTCATATGTAAGCGCTCAGTATAGTTACTAATAGGATATCATAAATAACCAGTTAACAAACAAATATTTGAAAACAAAAAAAAATCTATAATATTGCCATTGATAAAATAGGTATTGATAAGAAATGTTAAAAGAAAAATGCATAAAATAAAACAAACGTTTCGCCAATCATCCTGTTCGTTTCTTCAGAGCTTAACTGAGACTGGCTCGGATTTTACTCTGTACCTGCTTTTATATTGTTTGAGGGGGGCGGAGCTAAATGATGGGCATAAACCCGGTCTCGGATAACTGATTCCCATATTGGTGACAGAAAACCTACGCACACAGACCGATACCTTAATGCATCTCTCTCTCTTGTTTACAGATCCGTAAAACTATCTCAGCCCGTGTCATTGAACCCAGAATTAAAATACCTCTGCTCTTCTCTCTAATAATTTCCACATTAAATATATTAAGCAATCCCACACTTGTAACTGTTGTTCTTCCTTATATTAAAAAACCAGATTTACCACTTGTCCAAAAATCTCTCAACATCTTCGATCCGTCAAAGACAAATAAACTCATCAGCAGTTGCCGAACATATCACAAAACCGGACATAAAATTTTATTCAATAAAACTAAAATTCTTCCACATAATCAATTCAACTACCAATGAAAAATCCGAAAGTCTATAGAAATCTATAAACAACCTAACAATCTTAACCGCGACTCAGGTCTCCAGGTCCTACCTGTCACTAATATGGGAATCAGTCATCCGAGACAGTGTTTATAATAGTAATAATAATAGAGTGCCCAACAGAAATTACCAATTACAGGACAATAACAAAAATACATAAAACAAGTAATTTTATAAAGTTAAAACTAAACAAAAGAAGCAGCATTGCAAACAGAAACAAAAGGTGTGAAGATATAAGAAAAATAATATTAATACGAGAACAAGACAGCGCGAACTACTTAAACTGTAACTACCTACTGATGGACTTTAACCGTTAGTGATATAGTGCTGGTTGCAAATTCTAATCAGTTTTGGTAAACTATCATTAAAAATATCACAATGTTTATTAATTAAGTTGAAATGCGAGCAGATCTGATACAGCGGGGACCTACGTAATAAATTTGTTCGGGGAATCCCTAAGCTAAAAGTAAGAATGTGTCTTGCATTAGCCCGCGGAACACGAAAATCAGTTTGGGCAAGTAAACTCATCGAGTCAATATTACTATGCAATAACTTATGTAAAAATATTACACTGGCCGTAAACCGCCTCTGATCCAAGGCTTGAATATTAAACCTGTCCCGCAAAATACCACCATCGATGCCCTTCCCTGAATAGAAACCATCCACTCTAAAAGCAAGAAACTTTATAAATCTCCTTTGAACATACTAAAGTGACCGAATATAAGTTGAGTAACTAGGTGCCCATACTACCGACGCATACTCGAGCTTGGACCTAACCAACGAAGAGCAAGAGCAAGAACATTAGAAAACGCTGAACAGTTACGAATAATGAAACCAAGAGCCTTAAGGGCAGATCCAACTATGAAGTCGAGGTGTTCCGAAAATGAAAGCTGCAAATATTTTATAGAATTACATCTGGACAAGGTAATGTTATTTAGGTTATAAAAAAATAACGATGTTTGAAGATTTCTTGTGTATGAACATACTTTACACTTAGAAACGTTAAAAGTGAGCTTGTTTTGTACGCACCAATCGGAAATGTATGATAGCTGATCCTGAAGCAACACACAGTCATATTGAACACACTGTGAATAGATCTATATATTTTCAAGTCATCTGCAAAGAGCAGAAAGTCACAGGAAATTTTGCCCGATAGATGGTTTAGGAATATTGAAAACAATAATAGCCCAAGATTGGAACCCTGGGTCACTCCGGAAGTTGCAACAAACTGCCTAGAATTGAATTCATTAAAACACACAGAAAATGCGAGCCAGTTTCAGTCAAGCTCTGAAGAAGCCAACACGATGATTTTGCGAAACGTTATCTTGTTCGAGTCGATAAAAACCGATGCAGGAAGAATCCAGATGTTTTATAAAAAGTATTACAGGAGCCTGTGAAAGTTTCTTTGAAGACGAAAAACAGTAAGATCCTACTAGACTCCAGTCAGAACAGTGTGCAGTTACATCAGGAATAGTAATAATCAAAAATGATCAGTATGTCTGAGCTATATTGTTACCTTTTTAGATGCGTTCTGATTTTAATTAATTCATTAGTTTTAAGACAAGCAATCCTAAAAGCTAAATTCTATTTTGTAAGAGTTTTTGCAACTTGGACGTGTTATAAATGGTTGAACCTGCTACAAAACGGTCATAAGACGGTCATTCGCAAAAAATTTCATGTACTTAGGTGCATATTATTATTTTGATATAATGAGATTATGGCAACTATCTTCTGTGGCGTATTTAACCGAACGGATAAAATAAAACGCATCAAGTACATGGGAGAAAACAAAAATCAATTAGATAGGTTTGTTTTTGAAAAACTCGCAATGCTTCAACAAGAAAAACCACGAAAACCCAAAACGGAAAGAGCAAAGAAAGGGAACAAGAACGAGTCATAGTCGGAAAAAATATCTTTCATCGAGTCTGATGCATGCATAACAACTAAGAGAATATTAGATTCATGGATTAACTTTTCCTTTTCCTAAACTTCACTTATGAGTTGACCTGTGTGCCTACAATAGTTCTGCAAAAACTAGTCATCGATTTAATTGATTGATCGGCTACTTCCTTCAGCTTTACGATATACAATAATCGTTTCCGTGAGCTTATTTTGATATGTCCGGCGAGAGATAGATATTTTCATGGACTGGTTATTTGTAAAACTGAAGCATTTTTTCTATGTGCCGCCCAAGATAACCAAGGTGCTCTCTAAATTATTTTTTGTTTGTTTTGTGAAGTCCTTATCTAGCCACATTTTGATTAGCTCTGTCATTGCGGATCTAACAAGTTGAGTACGACATCTTATTTCAACACCCAAGCCACAGGAATTTTCTATTACAGCTCTTAGGTAGACCGGATTCAGGAATGTTATGACTTCAAGTCTCTTCAGGAGTTCGAGCACTTCTTGCTTGGAAGCAGCATTCAAGCTCATATCAAACCTTAACCTAGAGAATTTTCTACCACCGATATTATCCCCCCCCATGCCAGTATTTGTCTCATATACCACGCTAATCAATAATCACAACGCAAAATGATATTTTCGTCTCTCTGTCTTTTATTTTTCCAATTAAATAAATAGATAAATAACTAAATTAATAAATAATGCCGTTATTTAAAACAGTTACAATAATTTAGATTACAGAGTATTTGGAGGTGACAATACTTATATTCAACACGCTTTTCAATATAACCACCACAAAACAAACGAATACAAAACAAAGAAAACAAAAATTCGGGACGCAAACAAGGTCACAAAGTCAATTTAAAATAAATAGGCAAAAACATGAGATAAGAAAATTGTGAAATAATGGGATATTATCTCCACATGCAGTATAGGTTTTCCTGACCAGAATAAAACTTCCCGATTTCGGATTGAAATGCTCTAATGTTACCCAGATTTTTGTTGAGGGATGTTGTTATGGCATTGTAACTAAAAGACCTCTTAAACAAACTATCGTGCTGGGTTAACTGCATATGACCGGTACCGGATTTAATTAGCTTGGTAATTAAGTAGGGAAGAGCTTCAGTTTTCGTGAGTTTACATGAAAAACAGCTTATAGCCATATTATACCTTTGAGTCAAATTTAATCATCCATAATTGTTCAAACTATCTGATACGTGGTCAAACTTGTGCAGTCTATAGAAGTAACGCAAACACGAATTTTGAAGGCTCCGAAGGCTCTCTTTGTCTTGAGAGAGTGTAACACCAAAGCTAAAGTTCTAAATCTTCTCTTAAATTTTTTTATGAAAATATAGTGATTTAGCTTATAATGTTATTATGATGTTTGCAATATTTTGTTACCATAATTATTAAATCGCAAACTAGAATCGATTAGAGTACCCAAAAAAGTCTGTGACGGAAATATTTTTTCTCCATTTAAGAATATGTAACGTGTGGGGTCAATCGCGATAGAATTATGGTGTACAATATAAAGGAAATGCAGTGGAATTCCGTGGAATTCTGATTTCTATAAAAATAAAAAACAAAAACAAGTATATATATTGATATTTATATTATATATGGTTTTTGAAATAAGCGATCCAGGTATTCTACACGATTTAGTTTATATCTAGGTCAATTTGAAAACACAGTACACAGATGATGGTCCGCCATGAGTACGCAATAGATTAAATTCTTCAAAATTACAGTATTGAACCATAAAATGTCACTGTTTATTGAGATACAGAGTGTTAAAGTTTAGTCAAACGAGTTTTAAAATATCGGCATGAAAACTTCGTTTTTCGAGAAAGTTTTTCACGTAATGTGTTTAGTTACACTCTATAATCTCGCTATTTCATGCCATAACTTTCTCGTTCGTCTGGCTGCTTTAGTTATTGAAAGATTTTGATAGAATAATAATTTCTAGGTATAAAAGGGGTATAATTATAAACCGATCTACCGTGCGGAAAGCATCACTTTACCACTTGAGTTTCTTGTCCCGCGGATTCGAGCACCTTCGGACATTTCCGAGAT